CTTATATACAATGTGTAGCCTTAGCAAACTATTAAAACAGTGACAAGAATAAAAGAAATAACAATAATTAACAAAACCTTAAACCAAAATGAAGAAAACCAAAATCCAAAGCATAAATATCCCAACATATAACAAAAAAAAATTAAGCAAATTTCAGGATCCTTTGGAATTTCATTATGGAAGAGCAAATGAGGTGAGGACCTAGCTTACTCTCTGCAGTGAATTAGCTTCAGCAACACTAGCATATGACATGGCATCAACTTCAGCACTGCACTAGAGAATCTTATGCCTTTGGGTGTGGTCTGTCTGGATGTCAGTGTGATGTTAACACAGTCTTCCTTGTCAAATTTCCATCACATATCGAGTCAGCTTGTCAGAGCCCTTGATAGTAAGTCTACTGAATAACTCTTGCTCACCTACATGTCCTCTTCCATGTTGTTTTGCCCCTCAATGGGGTCATGTGCTGATGGATGTCAAGGTTCTTAGTAATTTGTGATATGTCCTCTGAATCTCAGACTCTTTCTGATACAATCTTTTCTCTGGGAATAGTGATGTGGATCAGATTGTGGCTGGATGGCCTGATGATCGGTTGATATTTGCCTCACTAGTGAGTTCACAGCTGAAAAGAGGTGGCATTTTCTGAGGAGGCCGTGAACCTAGAGTGTAGAATGTCATGCCTGCAAGGTGTCTCTGGCTTCTTCCAGCCTTCTCAGTTTTCTGAAGAGGTGCTGTCATGGAAAATCGGTAAAGAAAATATGATTTAGAAACAGTTTTGCTGTGCCACTGTCAAGAAAAATCAGGGCTTATTCATCCCTAGTAAACAAAAGTTAAGGAAGAAAACACACCCCATGAACACCCTGGCTGCTAGGGATGGGGCTCAATGGTGGCTTACTTGCCTGGAACATAGTGTTTCTGCCCCAGCAGCTCCATTTGCAGGAGGCTCTCTTCCTGGGCTGTGGTCTGCTCCAGTTCCTGCTGGAGGTTTTCAAACCTAGGGGAGGAAGGCAGCTGGGGCACAAGCCTGGTGGGGACCTGCCATGTCAGCTGTGAGCCCCCACCAGCTCTATTCAGCTAGACAATCAAGGATTACCTTTCAGCTGAGTTCATTCCCTGCTTCCACAAGGGAAAAGGGACAGAGAGCACCTGGGCAGGATTTTTTCCTCAGCTTTTAAAAACTACTAGAAGTTGAACTGGAAAATACACTCTTTGCTGGATTAGAAAAAAAACAGCGTATTTCCCCAACAGTTCAAAAACATCATTTTGGAGAAATATCAGTATGTCAAGGTCTGAGGCACAGGTTAGGAAAGATATCCCTGGCCTTGATTAGATCCAGGTGAATGTGAACCTCCTGGAAAATTCTATGCCCGCCCTCTAGTGGAGCCTACACAGCAATGCAGAGAAGGCTCTGGTTATTCCTACAGCTCAGAACCCTGTATGGGATTAACTTGTGAGCTCCTACTCTGTTTATGACCAGAGTAAATCTTCTCATGAGAAACTGATAAACACTGCAGAGAGCCTGCAGTCAGCAGGAGTGTGCTGTATGCAAATCTGCGAAGGGTGGACATTTCTCTCTAAACGTGATGTTCCTGATGGAAACGATGCAGGGGACACACTTTCCTTCATGATCAAAGATTCTCCTTTCCACGTTTCTGGCTGCCATGGGAATATTTGTGGGGAGATCTAATCTAAGAGATGAGATACTCAGAGCATACTAGAGGTCTCAGAAGGGAATAAGGGGACACAGTCCCCATAAGACCAAGGAGAGAGCATATTGCTCCTAGACACAAGTTCCTGTTGACTGAGCCAGCAATGACACTCTGAGGGGTTCTTCCCCTGCCTGTGGCTGGAAGCTTTGCCAATTGACAAAACTCAAGGAGGACGGAGATCCAGGTACAGCGGACCCACTTGGATCTACCTGCTTCTGGAAGCCTGGGTTCCTACCTCATCTGGGACACAGTGAAGTGATGCTGCAGCTTTACTGCCAAGTCCCTTTGCCTGGTGAACAGCTCCGTCTGCTTCATCAGGGAGTGAAGATTTTCCTCAAGTCTTTGATGTTCCTATTCATAAGAAGATTATGTTTTTAGGGGAGGTTGTCCTCACCATGTACATAAACATGGATGAGTGTATGGCTCTCCCTCTCTCTGTCTCTGTCTCTGTCTCTCTCTCTCCAGCACATACATATATATGCATGCACACATACAAGCACACTACATTCCATCCATTCTTAGTTTCCCAGATAACACTAATGTAAGAAGAGATTACCTGGGATACCATGGAGAAGAAAATTACCTTTCATTAACTTACACCCTCTCTACCTATATTCCAGCCCAGAGGCAAGAAACACAGGATGCTCTGAGCACAGGGATGTGTAGAAGAATGTGCATTTTACTTGGTTTTGGTAATTTTTCATTTTACTTTTAGTTTATATGTGCAGGTGTTCAGCCTGCTTGTGTGTCTGTATGGCACTTGAATGCCTCGTGACCTGGTGGAGGAACTCAGTGGGTAGATAAGTCAATGCAGTGCTTGCCTTGAAAACCTGTACACACACAGGTAAACACCTGGTTGTTTGATCTGTAATCTAAGCTCTCCTAGCAAGTTCCCCAGTCTGTGCATTGAAGGCTTAGTTCCCTAGCACAGGGCCACTAGATGGCCGTTGACCAGCCCCTTGCTCTCACTCAGTGCTTCCCAGTGCCTCCAAGGAGGGCAGCTTCCTCCTAAAGAAGCTCTCTGTACCACAGGTTGCCTCCATTTAGGCCCAAAGCAATGAGCTCAGAAAACTAGAAAATCTCTACAATCCGGAATCTATATTAATCTTTCCTCTAAGTAAGATGATTGTGTCAGAGATTTCTTTGAGTAACAGAAAGTTGACTAAATCACCGCCAAATGACTGCATATATTATTCCATATTTAACAATATCCCATGGACCACATTGTATGTTTGCACTCATGAATGATGGGTATCTGAATAGTTTCTAGTTGGGCTGTTCTGATGAGTCCTGCTCTATTCCTGTTGTCCCCTATTCTCTGTGGACACCACATTCCATTCTGGAATCAATGTTCCATCCAAAGAAACAGTTCCACTTTCTCAATAATTGTACATAGTTTCTCACAGGGCTGCACCATTTTACACTACTAGCAATGTCTGAGAGATCTCACTTCTCCCAACTCTCCATCAGGCTGATTTTAATTCAGTATGACGAAGTTTGTGGTAAAAGCAGTTTCTGAGTGCTGCAGACACAACATGGAGTAGGTGCTTTAGAGTTTAAAACCCTAAACGGTACCCTGAGACAGCCTCTTCTCACACTTCAGCATATCTGTGGGACTTCTGCTGGGCTGGGCTGCAGCCACAAGCACCTCTGCAGTTCAGAATTTCTCTGAGAATAAAGTCCAGGCCAAGCACCAAGGACCAGGTTAGCTGAACCAAGGTTAGGCAAGGGTGAAAGGAAAATGGCAGCAGGCGATGGGGGAGAAAAACAAAACAGGATGCAGGGAAGTCATCAGTGGTCAGCCTCCTTTCACCCAGAGCAGAGAAGGACACAAACCCTCAGGCAGCCTTTGCTGCCTCTCAGTAGCCTCTTTCTCACTGTCATGGACCCCATTATTTTGTTTTTCTCCAGAAGATTTCTTTGCAGAAAAATGATTCTGCCTCTACAAATACATGAAAAACTTTTAGCTTGCATCAATTTGATGTCTTTTGTTGTAGTTAGCTGTGTGGACATGAAGAAGGATGGGCAGCTCCATCTGTTCTTTGATGAAGGCAAAGTGGTACTAACCAGATTAGGCACAGTACTTTCTCATTGAAATCCATCTCCATCATTCTTAAAGATGTTCCATTGTTCCGTGAGAGAGTGAACATACACATAGAGGCTCAAACACACATTTTCATACCCACAAAGATGCACATAGAGACAACACACACACACACACACACACACACACACACACACACACACACACACACCTTTCTTGAATCCAGAAAGGCAAGGGAGAAGACTAGAATGTTGCAACACCTTTTCTACTCCAGGGGGCGGTAGTGGGTCCTCCCTGCAGTCTACAAGCCTCTTAGACTCAGCCAAGCTCTTCTGCCCTGGCCTGAACTTATTTCCCTTCCCAGGGAAGTTCTTATCAGCAGATTCACTGATCGTACAGAGAAGTAACAAGCTCTGCACAAATGAGTTGGACCACACAAAACCAAGTGCCAGGAGAAAAGGGTAGAACATGAAGCCACCCAATAGATTCAAGTTGACCCATCATAGTCTCCTCGCTAAACTTAACAGACTCCTTCACAGAAGACATTGACAGCACCAGAGAATGGAAGTCACCCATTGTCATTACCCAACAAAATTTGACCAGATTACAGTGCACATTATATGAAAACAGCCCCACATCAGTCAGTAGAAGGCTACTTAGGTCATCAACAGCACTTTTCTAAAATGCAGCACTCTATACAACTATCAGTTAGAATCTATCCTAAGACATACACACATACATCATAGAGTGAGCATCAAAATGTCAGGTTCCATGTTGTAAAACCAGTAGACAAACCAGACCTTTCCTGGGAAGTTACCTCTATGCCGTGAAAGAAAAGAAGTCTAACTTTTTTTTAAAGTAGCTCCATTGTTTGATTATTGTCCTTTATTACAATTTGTATCATCTCCAAAGTAATAAAAATGTTTAAAAAATAAGAGAAACCAAAAAGTCAGTTCTCTTTCTGACCAAATGAACCATTTAGCAACGAGATGAGACAGAAAAACACAGGATGCTCTACTGTGAGGAGACAGGAGATCCAAAGATCTGTGGCTATCCAGCTTAGCCAGAACAGAAATTTTCAGATTCAGTGAGAGACCCGGGCTGAAGGGAATAAGGGAGAAAGCAACAGAGGACACTCAGTGTCATCATCAGACCTTCCAAAACAACCACAGATGTATGTGCCCTCAGACAGGTATACTCACACACAGACAAACACCCCTCAAATCACCAGTGATCAGAATGCAATGAAGAGGACATCACACTGGATGAGGATGACATTACCAGTTGGATTAAGACTCCTCACACTAGCTGTTATAGGTGAGTCCCACAGTTCTGCATCATTTTGGACTAAAAACGCCTGGGGAAGCATGCTGTGTTTCTGCAGGCTATGTTGATGGAGTTGGCTCAAATCTGCCACCCTGACCCCGGCCTGTCATAAGCCCCGGCCACATCCCTGGTCATCCAGTGAGCTTCTGAATGTAAGATCCAGGATGGGAGAACTGGCCAATGCCTCTCAAAGCAAACAGTACTGACACGCTGTTAATTTAGTTTCTTCAACTGTGAACCAAGAGCTTGGCCAGGTAAAGAGAACACCATGGCAGTCTGGGAACAAGAGGGTAAAATGCCACATGACACCCAAAAAGATGTCTATGAGCCCCGGTCATTTGGCTTTTTCAGAGGGTGTTCCTCCTTCCATGCTGTGTCTGCTCTGATCTCACATGATCCCTGCCAAGCAAATGAGACCCAGACCCTTGACCTGACTCACTCAGATCTCTGTGGCTCCATCATAGCATGGCTCCTCCCATACTTACATACAGGTGAGTGGTATGTGATTGACCTGTCTCCCTCAATGGACTGTGGCTTCCAGCAGAGCAGTAGGGTTTGCTTGTTCTAAGAGGCTAACTCCCCAGAAAGACTTGTGAATGATCACAGAAGTGAACTATTGGATGGGATGGGTCAGTTGGATAAGTGAGTAGATGGTTACATGGTGTGTGTATATGTGTGTGTGTGGTCAGAGAGGTGGGCCCTGCTGCTTCAACCTACCTGCAGCTGCCTTGTCCAGGGGTCATAGATCTTCTCATGGGCCTCATCACAGAGCCTCTTTGCCTCCTCACAGGACTCTTGTAGTAAAATCTGCTCCCCCTGCAGCTTTTTCTTGTCTTCTAGCAACATTCTCACTTTTTCCTTCAGCTGAGTCTGTTCACTCAGGTGCTGACTGTAGAGGGTGCTGAAATATCACCAAAAATGATGAGTTCCACCTCCATCTGCCACTCCTGCCTCCTAATACCTTGATTCCTGCAAGGTCCCATTTCTCCATCCTCAACATCCCTGGGCTGGAGCCCTCATTAGCCATTCATTCAGGTGCAGGCCGAAGCCAGAAAATAGCCAAATTCCAGAAAGATTTATACTACTTCTGAAGACCCTGACAGCAAAAGGGATCCATGCCTCTAAAGACTGGATCTGCTACCTCCCGCACACACACCCTGGTACTTAACTGTTCTTGGTATTGGGAAAACATGAGCAGGTAGAGGGAAACCATGCTCTGAGGGAGACAGAAGACCCATCAGGAATACATTCCAGCCATGTGTCCCATAGAAACCAGCTCTGTAACCTCATGCCAGAGCCACAGAAACCATTCATGGTGCAAATATGTTTTCTGTCTAGAAGTTCCAGAAGCTGACAGGAAAAAGTTGGAAGGGGCTCTTAGACTCTTCACACTTAGGAGAACTCAGTCTAGGAGGCACAAATCCAAGAGCTATAAGGCAGGCTGCTTGCTAAGAGGTAAACAGACTAGAACCACAGCCCTCACTTTGGTTCAAAGGTGAAGAAGGGAAGAAGATGCTGTGGGATGTCTTTCTGTATGCTGTGAATATGTATTGCTCTCATTGGTTAATGGCAAGGCCTATGGCAAGGCTTTGGCCTATGGCAAGCCAGGAAGGAGCCAGGCAGGAAAATCCAGGAGAGACAGAGAAGAAAGGCAGAGGTGGAGGAAATGCCGGCTGCCACCCAAGTAGCAACATGCCAGCAGCCTGGCAATGCAGCTGCCATGTGGGAAAACACACATTAATAGAATTGCATTAATTTAAGATGATAGAACTAGCTAGCCTGAAATTTAAGCCATTGGCCATACAGTTTGAAAGTAATATGTGCCTCTGTGTGTTTATTTGGGCCATTTTGCTGCAGGAGGCAGGTGGGACAGATTCCTCCTGACAGCAGGGTTGGGCAGAACTGGAGAAACTTCAGACAACAAGAAGCAGTCCTTACCAAATTCTGGAGTCCACCCAAGTCAGGCAATCACCGGTAGATTTTGGTCTTCTCACTCAGCTCCGTGCACTTGTACAAGGCCTCACTAATCTCCTTGGGTAATTTCTTCACATCTGACATATCCTTCTTATGCTCTGTTTTCTGCATCTCATGCTCAGAATTAAGCCTGTGGTAGGGCATGGCCTCAGGAGCAAAGAATCCTGTGAACACAGGCCCCAGAGACTCCATGAATTAAGGTTGTAATTTGCACTACCCTAGCCCACTGGATGTCACACCCTGGATCCTATGTACCGGAAACTCCTGATGTGCATTAGACTTGCTACCCTGCCCCAGGGCCAGGAAAGGCTGGGTGTCAACAGGGAGGGAGACAGGGCTACATGAGCTCCCTCAATAGGTCTGGAGAGGTAGAGTAGCTCTCTAAGAAGGTCCACAGGCGTGGGCCTACCTGAAATCTGCGATGACATTTCCACTGTCATGAGAACAGAAATGTTTGTCCTTACAAGGATATCCAGAACTCATCATCAGCATTGCCATGGAGGAGGCACTCCATGAGGATGGCTTTATAAAACTCCCAAGGGGATTCCAATGAGGCACCAGGGTGAGCACAAAGACTGAGAACAGTGATGCTCAAAGTGGAACACCCTGGTCTCAGCAAATATATCCCCTGACATCTTTGAAACAGGCAAATCCTCAGGCCTACTATCAATCTCTATCTCACAAGATCTGAAGGGACACACACACACACACACACACACACACACACACACACACACTGTAAGGGAGCCTCTCAGTACAGAACACACAGAGACAGCAAATCCTCAGCACAAAGAGATGTATTTCCCCAGCAGGGCAAGAATGGCATTGGGAGCCTGCCTCTGGATCAGGCAAAGGCAGACAACACGCAAGGCTTTTTTTCATCTGTGGGATTTGAAATAGAAAGGTTAAGTCTGTGGCTAGGGTGAGTTGCTGAGATCTGATGGGACAGGTTGTCAAATGTACCCGAGTAATGAATTTTGATTGTTGGACTTTGGTGTTTAGTTTCAAGAATGAGTCAGTGTCCACAAAAGGGAATGAACTTGGGGACTAAATTTTGGAATGTAATCTAATGGTTTATCAAGGGAGAGGGAAGTGAAAAGGGCAAAACCTGACACTGCCATGTTTGTGATGTTTAGGCCCCTGAGAGGGCAATTCACAAACACACAAACCCACACATAGTTAGGATGTCAGAGAAAAGCAGGTGGGTGGCATTGTCTCACAGTACAAGGAACAAGACCAGAGAGGAGCATGAATGGACACCAAGCCTTCCAGTCACACACAGATGGACCAAGAAGGAAAACCAGGCCCTTCAATCTGCTCCCAGAGCAACAAGCAAAAAGAAATATCTTATCAAATACAGAGACTCAGGTTAAACTCAGAGCACCTGGCATCTCCTACAAGCCAACACCTGTTAAGGCCTCTTGAAAGTAATGATCATACACCCTACTGCCCCTCTCTGTGGATTCAGGCCACAGGACCTGGTTTTCATTAGGAGGAATCAGAACAGCCTGTGTCCCATCTCACTCCTACAGGCTTCAGTTCTGCCTCTCAGATGCATTCAGGAAAATTTGTTTGTGCAGGTCACCCTGCAGGTGCAGCTTCCAGTGACCCAAGGACTGCTGGAATTGACACAGTAGGGTCGAGACATTCACCAGAGAACAGGGCATGATGAATACCTGTTGTTCAACTCATTGTTGTAATGGGCCAGGAATTCACGCAGTTCATTCCTGTCATTGTTCATCATCTGTAGCTGAAGTTTCAGTTTTTCCACCTGGTTCAGCTGCTGCTCCTGCTCAGTGAGGAAGATGGGTGTGGATGATGCCTTCCTAGCAGTCCCTGTAGGTACATAAACACAAGTGAATTTGTACAGATGAATGGCATAAGCCAAGAAGATCATGTGGAGTCCCAAGAGGAGGCCTGAGGAAGAGGAAAAGCATGGAACCCAGTGAAGGCCTCAAAGATCAGAGCAGCTATCCTTAAGCTGGGCCTTATAAGCCATGTGTCTGTCTCCAATCACTATGGCTAGATATATGCCTCAGCCCCTACTGCAGCCCCCCTGGTCCTGAAAGACATAAGCAAGACAGGTCATGTTGGTTTGGAATTGTCATCTCATACCTGATGTGATGCAAGGAAGTCCAGGAGTCCCTAGTGCTCTTCACCTCCCAGACCTGATAACCTGTGTCCACGACTAAAATGAACTGAATGTCTCAGACTTGGGTACATGGATGGAAAGTTTCCCTCCTTGGTATTTACATCGGATATAAAGTGCAACAGCATCTCATTCTGATACCGCATTAGTGGTTCTGGGCCTCCTGTTGCATTCTTTGCCTCCTGTTGGCATTCTTTGCCACTCAGAATGAACTGAAGGAGGTTCCTGCACAGCAGCTGCAGCCTTGACCAATCCTGGCCCTCTGCCAACTAACCATCAGAAATCCTCCACCTTGGATCTGCTCTTTAGGAACCCAGATAAGTAGCATAGGCCCATTGCTTCATGATCACAGCTACTGAACCCCATTATTAGAAGGTCCAGTTCTAGCCTCACCTCTTAGGAAACTAGGGCTCTCTCTGCCAATCAGTGTGATCAGTCTTGCCGACATGTCAGTTGGTGAACAACATAAGCACTTAGTGAATGCCTCAATGACAGCTGGCATTGCCACAACACTGGTGATTTCACAGAAGATGACACAGGCTCTCCAGGATACAATAGAATTTCCAGAGAATGGACTGTTAGGGTCACCTACAATGGTCATCACCTATGTGATACAAGCTCTTCCCCAATTCACCAATAGCCAAGCTGCCCTTTCCAGGAGCCTTTCCTGAGACACAGGGGAAGGCCTTCAGCACCTCCTCCTTCCAATCCCGAGATCTCTCTGATTCATTAGAATCTAGTTCATTCTAATTCAATAGTTCATCATGTGTGGAGAGCAAGACTCATTTTCAAAACACCGCCCAGGAATGGCTCCTCTCATCCTGATGATCGCCAGCTAATAAGATGAGAAATTAAGGATGCTAAGAAATTAGCTCAGGACAATGGGGAAGGAAGATCAGTTCCATGAGGTGAACAAACACATTAGAGAAGATCCACAGGGCAGCTACAATGTATGGGAATGGTGGAGGATTATGTGGGTCCTGTCAGAACAATGATAAGTCACATAGGAAATGATGGAACTTTTGCCAAAACCTCCAGCAGAATACATTTCAACCATTATGATGTTAGCAGAGGTGTTATCAACCATTGAAAGGTATGACTGAAAATACCTAAGGACTGGGCATCCCCAGGTGAGCTTTCAGTCACCAAGAACAAAATACTTAAAGGAAGAGTGATGTCCCAGTCCTGCACTCAAGGTAGAGGAAAGAGGACTAGCTAGTTGAGAGGGCAGGAACTCAGAAACCTTAGGGGCCACTGACATGCAGCAATACTTGGTGGCTCCTGCCCTGCCAGTGGTTGATATTTAAGATGTGAGACTCTCTAGCTCTGCCAGGGGACCTTTCTCTCCCTGTTATTAGTGACACACACCAAACAAAATCCAGTGTGGGTGAAGTTCAGCGCTGGTACTGAAACCTCTTTAGTTCCTCTGTGCTTCCTTCCCACTCAGAGTGAAAGCAGAGTGCCCTCAGCAGAGCAGCTTCAGCCTTGACCATCCCTGGCTCTCTGCCAAATTAACCATGGAAAATCCTCAATTCTGGGTCTGCTCTTGAAGAACTCAGAGGACCAGGATAGGCCCATTGCTTCTCAGAAACTCTCCCCACCTTAGCCCCACTCCTGAAAGGATCAGCTGAAGCTTTCCTCCTTCAGGAAGCTCCCCATCCCTTTCCCAGAACTCACTGCACTTTCCCCAGAACCATTTATTTTTTGATGTGTGACATGGAGACTGAAGGCCATCTTCCTTCTGTCTCCCTCTGATCTCCCTGTGCTCGCCATCCTTTCTCCCAAGAATCCTGTTCAGTCTAGTCAGCATGTCTGTAGGTGAAACACGAGACACTGCACCAATGCCCCAATGACAGTTGGTGTTACCACAACACTGGTGACATCACATGGAATGCCAGGGCTCTCCAGGAGACATTAGAATGTCCATGTGCTGATGTCACATGGTCTAGCTGTTACATCCCTGCTACATACCTCACCCAAAAGTGACTTGAAACCAAGGTGCCATTTCCATGAGCCTCTGTGCTCACAATGGAAGCCTTTAGGTAGATCCTCCTTCCAAAGTCAGAAATCTAGCCCTCTGCTTCATTAGAGACTTTACCTAAGTGAAGTTGCATTTCATATATTTTCCTTTTTCCCAAAATATTCTTTTTATATTCCCATGCCTTAAACCATTAGATCTTAGACCCCATATAAACTTTATTTATATTCAAATCTCATAACTTATTTAAGCTTCAAAGTTCCATATTTTTGTATCTTAAACTACTTCCTCAGACCCAATACAGAATACAGTCAATCTCTCACGACATACTTAAGCCTTTAAATTTTTATAAACATATTACATCTTAAAATACCCTTTTTTCTATTTAATTCATTGAGTTATACTCTGCTTGAAATTTGATCCAGTTTTTTCTTGTTATGCCCAGATTGTGACCCCAAAGAGACCACCGAAGACCATAGGTATCCAGAATGCAACAGCAAGGTTTATTCTGTAGATACAAGTCTAGACAGGGAACTCATTCCTACACCCAAGACAGTGAGGCAGGGAGGAGTTGCTCTTTCTTTGTGAGGCTAGCTTTTTAAAGGCAAAATCCACAAACCCTTCAGAGCATTTGGGGGCCTTGGGAGTTTTGTACGGGTGCAACTCGGATGGTTTATTTTTATCTCTGTTCTCTTTTAATTGGGTGAAGGTTGTAACCTTTGAATTTACTGGTTGGTGGTTACAATGATCACTTTGGGGGCAGTCCAGCACAAGTCCCAGGCTATGTCCTTGAGCTGCCATGGGGGCTAGCTGGCCTAGCACATACTGACTGTGAGGGCTGGCTCAGTGGTCTAGGCTCTGTCCTTGATTCATGCACATAACTCTAAGTTGGTGAGAGGTCCCAGACAGTAAACATCTGGCTGAACTTTTAGCAGTCAGAGTACGTGCAGAAAGGGAGCTACTGCAAGGATTATGTCTTTTGTTCACGGCCCTCCCAGAGACTGCTTGCTCAGTCTCAGGAAACTGAAATTGAGGCCTGATCTCTGAAAGAAGACTGAGCAGCCTGTTATGGCATCTGCTTGGTCATTTCATTCTTATCTTAACCAATAACAATTTGTAACCAGTTCTCTTAAATGATGGCAAGTATTGTAACCATTGAACAGAAATGATCAAAATCCATGTTTTTTTGTGTATGTATTGTGTGTGTGTGTATGTGTGTGTGGAAACAAAGTCATAATTTTTTAAAACATAATGTATCCTTAACATTTTTTCAATGCATTACCAGGAAAGAAAGGGGTTAAAATGGGAAGCCAATGAAGAACTTGGCTTGGGAAGGAAGGGAGGAGGATTTAGATTCAGAGTGTGCAGGCAGTAAACTCCCAACCACCCCTCACCTTTGCCTGCCTGTAGAGAGTGTGTATTTTCACCTTCTGTGAGAGCCATAGGAGCCTGTCCTGCAAGCTAATACCAGCCCTGCCTGTCTTGGCCATGAGTCTGTTCCAAGCTTCAGTGAGGTAGTCATCTGCCCACTCAGAGCCTCTCCTGCCCGGTCTGCTCATTTTGGGAACCTACCTCTATAGATGTAACCAACCATCTTATTAAAATAAGAAACACAGAACCAATATAAAAGAGAAAGCCTAGAGGTCAGAGCTCAGAGCTAAAATCTTACCTCCTGCGGTGCTCCTACCTCTCCGAAAGAGAGCTACTTCCTGTGTGTATGTCTTTAAATAGTCTTTCTGTTCTGCCTTCTCATTGGTTGCAAACCCAAACACATGACCGCCTCGTCACTGCCTGTAAGTACAGCCCTCCAGGTCTTAAAGGTGTATGTCTCCAATGCTGGCTGTATCCCTGAACACACAGAGATCTACTTAGCTCTTCTACCAAGTGCTGGGATTAAAGGTGTGGGCCACCACCACCACACTCTTGCTATGGCTCTAATAGCTCTGACCCCTGGGCAACTTTATTTATTAACATACAATGAAAATCACATTCCAGTACAAATAAAATACTATCATATACCTCTCAGCTTGGGTAATTAGGGAAGGTGCCTGAAGGCTTCAGTTATCATCCTTGCCTGGGGACAACTTCCCATCCAATCATCCTCTCCTACTACAGAAGTTCACTGCTGAGAAGAGGAAGGTCAGTGGGGATGGAGCACTCAGTCCGTATGAACACAGTTCAAATACTGCTCCATCATTCCTGAGACTGACTTTATCATCAAGAGTCTCTCATTATGAGCTTGTATTTTGCCATCTGCAGTACCTGGGCTTGGGGAACAGAGCTGTTTGAAATTTTGCCCTCCAGCCTATCCCTTCACCATCATTAAATGCACCTTGAAGTGGGATTGACCAGAAAGCAGAAAGCCATGAGGCTTTCCCTGCCTCCTCTCATCATGGTAGTTGATGACTTCTGAGGCTGTCACTCACTGGATAGCAGTGTAACAGCAGTTCATTCTGTCCCATTTGGAAAGCAGAGTCCTGGGACAGGTGCTGACTCTGCCTCAGCTATTGTCACCTTTTCTAACAAATGCTAGTGGAGATTAGTAGTAGAAAACAATGGACATATCCCACTCTGAGCAACCCCCTTCTCAATCTCCCACTGTCCTTTACCTTCATGCCTTTCTCCTTCCCTGAAAGTTTATCTCTAGGCTGGTCTCAGATTTCCAGCAATCCTTCTAACTCAGGGAACTTATTGTTGGGTTTCCTTTTTATTCTTCTTTCCCATAGATGCATTTTTCTTGCCCTAATATGACATTTGAAGGGTAGTGGAAAGTAGGCATCTTAGAGATCTGAGGAGTTGGTCAAGGTATCACAGTGTTCCATTTCTCTATCTTATTGATGATGGAAAACTACACTTAAGAATTATGGCATGTAAAAAGAAAGAAAACAAAACTGAATTAACACATTTTTCTACTGGTCCTCAACCAATCAAATCTCAATTATAAAGAAAAAAAACTGTGGGTAAATTCTTCCTGTGATTTCTAGATGAAGTGTAAGCATTGTGCTACCCTCAAAACCAAACAGAATTTAGGGAGGGTGGCCTCAATTAAACCAGCTATCTAATCACAGAGCTTGAAATACTTTTCCTGTCTGCAGCAGCAGAATCTGGAAGAAGAGAAGTTATACAGTTGCCCAGCAGAGATGCCTCTTTGCTGTCTCAGCCTAGATGGCTGTGACAATAGTTGCAGTAGAAACACCCCATTTGGAAGTCTTCCTGTCAGCATCATTGGATCCTGGGAACCCACAATTTCCTGCTCTACACAAAGTTCTGGATAGCCATTAAACGTTGTTAGACTTACTTGATGGGGGTGATTTACTATAATCTGAAAGTACGGTGGAGGAGGAAGGAGAAACTGAATTCTTATGTGTGCTTGGTGTCAAATGGTATCTGAGGGACTTAGCATGTCACATAGATTGTAGATATCCATCTAAGAAAGACCCTGGAACATCTACACATTGTTAGTAACATCTTAGACAACATCAGTGCTCTAGAAGCATGGAAGTTCCATGCACAGAATGAAGCATGATCAAGCATGCCCCACCCCACTGTAATAGTGCCACTAGCCCATCATAAAGGATGAGGGCACCATCAGTGTTGTGCCACAATACACACATGCTTGTTTCCATACAATACACACAAATATGTGCCCACATTCATACATTTAAGAATATGTGTTTGTCTACACAATTGCATGTACACACACACATACACACACAGAAATATACTTTGAAATTGAATTAAATGTACAATAAATTGGCAAACAAAAAATCAAAAAGGAACGAACAGCCTTTGTGGTACTGGCATGCACATGTATGGCATGCCCATGTATGGTATGCAGAGCTGTGCGTATAGTTATGTTCATGATTTTATAAGCATCTGTATGGTATACATAGTGTATACAACCACATCTAACTGCATTTACATGTGTATATACATATAAAGATAAACTGAAATCCCAACTCCCAGACACCAGCCATGGAGGCAGCAGAACTTTCCGAGTGCCCGGACTGCTGTGTTAGCTCTTTGCTGCCTTTAACTCTGAGGGCCTGTTATATTTTTTTTGAAAGACATCATTTTTTAATTCACAACTGAGACTGCATTTGCCTTATTAGAAAATATGTAACATCTAACTTTCAAAAATAAGAAGTATGAGAAATAAACTTTGCTTTCAGTATCTAGAAATGAATATCAAAACTTCCTTCAATGCATTTTTCTATACCTGCATATCAGTTCAGTAGTTTAATATTAATCCTATATTTTAATTTTTCCTGTATTTTAATTTTTTTCTCCCCTGAATAATAGAGTGATATATATGTATGTATGTCATGAGGTATCATTCTCAATGATGGTAGTGGCCACAACTGTCTCTATCTAAAACAGCTTCTAGTTGCCTAGAAGTTGAATTGTTAATTTCTTCATGTCCTAGTTTATGGTTCTGTGTAGACTTAGGAAACATTTATTACACTAGACTTTGAAGACACAGAGGTAACTAGGGTGAGTAGCATGGGAAGGAGATGGCATGGGTGGGCTGTCTGCATGTGTTGGGAAAATTCTAATTAAATGGGTGAAAGATCACATCAGAAGTAATAGGAGACAAAAGGCAGAACACAAAGAGAAAGGTATTTCTGACTCTGCACGCTGCTACTCAGTGTAGAACAACAGATCAGCTCTTAC